CTCATATAAAGTGCAGCATTGCTATTGATAAAAAAAGTGAACATAACACCTTGTCGCCTGATTCTTGGAGGGGTATGTGCAAGTAAAATTATACTAATGTCACTGAACTTTAAGCACCTTACACAAGGACCTTTGTTTAACATTAAAACCAAATTTGGTATAGAAAAAATGCAGTACTTCTAAAATTAATTTTTCCACGAACAGCACCCAACTGACATTCCAGGAAGTTCAGAAAACAGCCATGTGACAAAAAATTGTTTCTTTCCGAAATATTATAGCAGTTCAAAATTTTCAATGCAGTAAATCAGCACAATTTTTTTATTACATTTGAGCTCGTCCCCAAATTGACTGGGACGTTTGACGTGGAATGACCCTATTGCATTTAGCCTTGCTTATTTGCAATACGCATGCATGTTACAAAGGCTTGTTATATTGCACTTTTTGTTTCGCTTTTCAAAATATTTGTGTCGACATATAACTTTTTTCCAAGGTGCCATACATATTTTGTTACATACATGAGGTAAACGCTGTAGAAGCCTGCGAGCATTCTTCCAGCACGCTCGTTCGAAAAAATGTTATACAAAATTTACAACCAGTAACGTGTTCTTTTGTGTGTTTATGTTTAGGCTAAAAAATACATGAATATGATCGTGGCCTCAAAGATAAACAAATCCCTGTTATTTATGCGGTTGCCAATAGGCTATTCATGCACGCTTTGCTATTGATACAACGACCGCGATTAGCACCGGTAGCTTGAGGCCGGACCTCATCACTGTGGTCAAGCACGGCACCAGACGCGCGGACTTTCGCAGTTTGCTGTCTGAACTCCTTTCATAGCTTCGGCAGCGTTGCATCTGATGTAAGAAACAGTAAACCGAGAGATCGACCTCATAGGTCAGCAAAATTTTTATATCTCACTGAGATTCACTCTTGATTTATGAAGTAAACTTCGCGCTCACGGCTCACCCGGACTGAGACTCTCCAAAAGTTTCTGAGCCAGACTAATTCGGACTCACGCCCACGAAGCTTTTATTCAAACTGATTTACTTTTGACTCAAAGCAACCGTAACATTATTCACGCAGACTCGCTCACACTACGACTCACGGCCCGATTTAAGTCACAGTGTGTCGACCAATGACTTGAGTGTGCTGACGTATGGTCGACCTATGTTTGTATATGACCTGTTTTCCAGCAAATACGGTAGTTATTTACGCAGCCAATTCATCAGTCTACAATGGCACCTTGGTTTGCCAATGGCCGCCTCCAGAGGGCCAGAGCCTTCCTTCATTAAGCAACGCCGAGCTGCACAAACGCATGCTGGATCTCGAATCTAAATTGGAAAGTGCTCGACGTAAAGTGCAACTGGCGAACCGTATCAAGAACAAAGTGACTAAAGAATATGAGAAACTGAAGGCCGAGCTGTCTCACTACTTGGCCCCGGATCAGCTGAACTCTATGGCGAAGAATTCGAGGGGGTCACTGTGGTCGGAGGACACCATTCGTAAAGTGCTGAAAGTGAGACTGGCCTGCGGGTCCCGTGGTTACAACCTGGCCAAGAAAACCCTCGCCCCTCTGCCATCTCAACGTACGCTGCAGAGGCATTTGGAAGTACTGAAGTCCACACCGGGCGCAGTGCCAGAACTCCTACAGGCCCTCTCTGATGAGGTAATTAAAAACAAACAAAGCATGGTCTGGTTTTATGTCCGAATATTGCAATATCATTAGCAGCACAATGAAAGAGAAGTGCAATGCGTCAAGGAATGGAATGCATAGGATTGCACACAGAAAAGAAAGAGGGGGTGGATGGGGGCACTAGGGTGTGACTGCTCTTTTAATCAGCTAAGAGGTGGGTTTTACTCTCTAAATGTGATTTTACCCTCTAAATGTGAATAGCTAAATGTGATTTTACCCACACTTTGACTTAGTAAGTGGGCCGCTGCGATAAGCACTCTTATCAGTGCAGGTTCTCTATGTCTATACTGGAGCTTAAGGAGACGTTCTAGCCATGTCTCTGTAAGAATTTCACAACGCTCTTGATACTTCATAAATATATATATTTTTGGCAGAGTTGGTTCACTATGAAGCAAGGAAGTGCCAATGTGAACAGAAATGCACAAGATAAAGGGAGGGTGCGTGGCATTTCTCTTCTGGGTATCTGTTTGTGCTGGCACTTACACTCTGAGCTGGAAGCAAGATTACTTGTTCTCAATTTAGAGCTCATTATAATCTGATTGCTGTGGTTGCGACTCCATCCCCCAAACTGCTGCACAGGAGTCCTTTAATATATTTGCTCGAACACCATGCTAGCTCTTAGAGAGGTAACTAGATAGATAGCATGCTGGCACGATGCATCCAGGTTTCTGTAACTTGGTTCCTAGCGAAGCTTTGACAGCTTACCTATTGTGATTCAGGTGTGAACATTATGTTGCCTATTATGTAGGTATTAATAATACCTCTGTTAAATGACCACCACAGAATTATATTTAAGTGCATCAGTGTGTAACTCTATTTAGGTGCTGATTGTGTAATAGTAGCAAACTAAGTTTCCTTTATTATTGCCGAGCGTTTTACAAGAAAAAAAATGTTTGACCAGTCTCTCTTTTGTTGCATTTCTTCAGGTCAACAGCATGGAGGACCCCGAAAAACAAGTCATTGATGTTGGTGAAGTTGAAATCCAGCCCGATAAGACTGTTGACCTAAATAGTGAACAGGTACTCGGCATATCGGCAGACCCGTTGACGGACACTCCCGAGTGACATATCTTCGAATGCGTTGACTCTCAGTTCCGAATGTACGACATGTGTTACAAACATTGTCGTTGATACGTGTCGTACGTTGAGATGAGTTTTGGCACGCACTGTCACATGGCAGAAATGGCAGTGTGCCTTGTAGAAACTATCTATAAAGTTGGCATCATCGGAAAGTGCTTTTTTATGTTATCGAATGCAGTTGCAGTCGATGTCCTGCTTTCTAGTCATCCCACCTAAGATTTGAGTGTCAAGTGTAGGACCCACTCGCACGACATGTGAAGCCGAAGAAGAGATGGTACACGTGTTGTCAGGTCTATGCAATACACACCACAGTGATCCATGTTTTGTTAGAATCTGCATTAACGTAAGAGAACATTGTTCTTGTTGTTTGTTTTTTAGGCATCTTGTTCTCATCTTGGTACAAAATATTCGAGCTTATCGAAGTCAGTGGTTCTGCATGGTTTGTGTTCAAGTTTTTTGTTGTAACTTTTTGTCATGTAGAATACGTGCGCCTGCATACATTTAAATAATATAACTCGAAAACGATACTTCGTCTGCAAACATCACTTGTCCTTGCAGAGCTTTTGCTGGCAGCACTACAATGGTGCTGTTGGCACTCAATTCATGTTCATTTGTTAAAAAATACTCTGAAATTGTTTTATTCTGAAGAAATTTTATTCGCATTACCACGTGCACTGTGGCTTAAAGCTTAGGACTTAATATGTTCGATGCAAAATTTTACTTGAACATCACAGCCCAGTTTTCAACATCTTCGTCATCTGGGGATCTGCGATTGAGCCAACGTTTCTACATAAGGACACTGCAACTGGTTTGAAAACAAGTCCACTTGTCTAGGCGTGCACTGCAGCGCACACCATTTGAATATTTTTTATTGCAAGCTTCCATCTTTCTTTCTGAAATTACAGGTTGTACTCCTAAATAATACAGACTGTTCTGTGAGACCAGGGCCCGTATTCACAAACGCTCCTTCACTCAAGGGCTCCCCTCGACTTGACGAAGTCAAGGTGGAGCGTGCTCCTCTACTCAAGGGGCCGCTGCGTTTTATGAACGCTCCTCCACACTTCCTTCGCCAAGGGAGGCCTTGGAAAAGCTCCCTTCACTTGAGTGAACTGCAAGCGCCGAGAAAAGCGCCTGATAACGAGAGTATTCGCAATTGTGGTTAAGACACACGACAAAGGAGTAACTCCTTTCCGGCCAAGATCCTTTTCGCAAAATCAGATCCCGCATCTACTTTTCTGGCAGGAAGGGAGTACTCTCGCATACAGTGTGTATAATTTATTATCAATAGAAGAAAACGTGTCGCAACACTGCGGTGCCCTGTCAGTATTTTTTTTGCGCTGAGAAAATTTTTTCATTTTCAGCAGCAAAGCGATTGCTTAAAAAGTGAAGGCCTATAGTCTGTCGATACTCTCAAACGCCTGCATTACATTACTAGCGCGATCATGTTAGGGTTGGCAGCGGCAGTTGCTGTGTGGGCGACAAGAGTCAGGCCCACCTCAATTGTTGCTTTATCTCTGTCCCTGCGCTGAGACATCGCAGGAACACGACGAAACGCGGCACGCCGTCACTGACCCAGCTGGACGCAGCCATGTAATAAGCATGACAAAATACAAAAACAGCAAAACACCGATTGTTCATAGTTGCCAGACGAACTTAAGTTGCTGCTAAAAACGCAAAAAAAGCGAAAGAAAATTACAGGTATGCACATTATAAGCCACCAGACAATAAAAAAAAACGTTTTTATGCTCCGGCGTCACTGAATGTGATGTACAAGCGCAGATTCTTTTCAATATTTCCAATCTTGCTGCTTTCACAAACAGCGCCATTTTTTCTGCAGCGTTCTTCTGAGGCACCGTCTAAAGCAGTAGTCCGGTGCCGTGTGTCATCAGCGCCACTCCTTTCTGCAAATGGTCCCCTTAGGTGACAAAAGGGGTTTACTTCAAAGTACTTTACTTTTGCCCGTGTGTCACGGGTATAATAATTTCCTATCTCTGTACATTAAAAAAACGCCTTTTCTAGTTGTTCTTCTTTCTAAATTGACATTACAGCAAAATACGTGCATTTAGAGTGGTAGTGTTGTTTCCCTAAGCCTTGTGCTGATAGAGTTAGCGAAACCCTGCTTCAAGTCTGGCAACAGTCGCACCCAGGCAGCTGAACAAACAGCTGATGGCATTTCGTCTGCTGCTGAACGTGTCTACCTGCTTAGTTTATTTTGTCTTGTATGCGTCTATTATAGGCAATTTACGGTAGTGTTTGCGTGTGTGTCGTTTGAGAGCCTACTTTCGCCGGGGTGACTAACGAATTACGTGAGTGATGACAGGAAGCGCAATAGATGGTTTGTTGCTTTGTTTACTTTCGCTTTACTGAGAGCTTTCTGATCACTAATGTAGCCACCGAATGTATAACGCGGTGGAATTAGTGTTTTTTACTATATATCACAGTATGTTGGCGTGCTTTTAGCGTTCACCACCGCATTATGTATAAGGATTACTCGTACGTAAATTCGTTCTCGCTACGTAAGTACGTGCACAGTTCCTAATTTCAGGGGCCTGTGCAATGTTTATTTTTCTCATTTACTGCAAATTTCACCGTGGCGCTTTCGTAGTTGTTCCTCTGTGTATAATAGGAAATTTGAAAGACATTGCTCGCAACTGATATTCAAGGTTATACTAGGGTAGCGTTAAAAACAAGGCATGTTATACTCGTGGCTGAGCGTTCGAATTAGACTGCTACGCAAGTTAAGAAAAGCGATCGTGTGCCTTTCTTTCACTATTGCCGAAAAATACATTTTAAAGTTGTTTCCTTCGTTTAGTAACTTATATAGTCGGTTAACAGGGACTGGTGTGTGTGTATGTGTGTGTGTGTGTGTGTGTGTGTGTGGGTATGTGTGTGTGTGTCAACTTTAACATTTTAAACTTCCGAGGAATAAGTTATTGTTTTTTGCATTGTTTTTCTATCTGTCCTGCATTTGTGGATGCGTCTAATTTGACAGATTCGCATAGAAGTAACCTTTAAATTTGTGTAGCTTCCGTCTCCAAGTTCACACAGCAGCAACGTCTTAAATTTTTTTCCCGTCTCCTTCATCTGCATGTTCAGAAGCACAATCGTTAGTGCATGAATGACCTTCACACTAATGTTTTGGATTTTATTTGCAATATGACTACTGGAAATACCTGTTGAAAAGGATCGTGGTGTCTGTGCTGCATTCCAAAGCCCCGGCACAACATAAATTATAGGGGATGTTTTATTTTTTTAGAAATCATAAAATTGAAGCCGCGTCTGACTTTTGGCGCTGTTCTGTTTTGAAAACTATCCTGTGGGTTCTCTCAACCTTCGAGAAAGTGTCGTCAAGAGCAGCGTATATTATTCTGCTGATTTATTGAAGACCAGTGCAACAAAGCGGTGAAAAATGCTCAAGAGTATTGCAGTCATCGCGGATACATCTGGTCAGAGCCCTGTAAATAAAATATCCGCTATTGCTGCATCATTAGCAAGTGTACCAGTTAGAACCACGCCATCTCAGTTCTGTGGAAGGGGAGTGGTGCTGCTTTATATAAAACAAGTTTAATTTTCCTAGAACAGCTTTCCTGTAGAATCGGAGAAGTGGTTTTTGCTGTCCTGTCTCATCATGAAAACACAAACACGACAATAATTATGTAATAATAAATGAACAAAACAGAAGTTGTGAATGGCAAATAGACCTTTATTACATGTGGCTGATGAGGAGCAACGTGGCAAACACAAGAATGCAAATGAAAAGTGTTCATCAATCAAACATATGCAACCTACACACCGTAAAGATAAAGTACGAGCTCGGAGGACATCGTAAATAAGTTTAAGGAAGTAGACACCATAGCGTGCCTAATGCAGTGTAGCTGCACGCATTCACTGCTGTTTTTGTGTCTTTGTATACAGTCGTGCAAACTCTGCAATGCATTAATACGGCAGATTTTAGGAGGCCTTTTCTCTGTGTTCTTCTGTCGGCAGCTGGTCCCCTGCACAAATAGGCAAGAAATAATATTAGAAAAACGTAATAGCTTGGATACAAAAGCCGCATTTTCCTTTAATTCTAGCTGTGCACACATTCTTTAGTATGTCTCGCGTTTAAGAACAGACAAGGTTGAAGTATTGAGCTTTCATTATTTTGACACATGTTTCGCTCAGGCACTTGGGCAGCAGACCAGGCATAAGGGTATATCATTTCATTATCTAATTGAACGAATCAGTGCCCTAGCCAGCATTTATTCTTCGGGGGGTATGAATGGGGTTAAATAAAAAAACACTCTCATTATGTGTCTGCTGTATTTATATTTCCTATGTTTGCGTTTTCGTACGACACTCGATGCACTTTTGCGTACATGCAGGTTTCACAGAGCATGATCATCTGCTTGATCCCCTAAATGTGTACTTGGTTGTTCATTGGTATTGTGAGCTGCATAGACACTGTATAAAGAAGCTATGTTTCACGCGTAGTAGCTACAGCAGCACACTCATTGCGCCCAATGTATTGTGTTGTGCTTTTCTTAAACTGTCTTTAATAGTAATCTGACCGAAGCAGGAAAAAAATAAAAAAAACACAGGAGAACTTACCTTCTCATTGGTACAGATGGTCGTCTAACGGAGGTGTGCTTCGTCGTAAATTTCGGCTAGGGCAGCAATGGTTCACCGGAGAGGAAGCCACTCTAAAGTGTGGTGAACCCAGCGCATCAAAAGTTTGCTATGCCGTTAGCTTGTCAAGCTTTCGCACCACGCTTAAACTGATGCGGTGTGCGAGCTTCATCAAAACACTTCAAAGCACTGGAATCCGCAGTAAGTCATGGAGCACTCGCACGAAGAGTATACGCACACCCGAAGGCAGGTAATCCACTGGCTCATGCACGGAACGCAACACATCACGGCACTGGTGGCAACATCACGGCAACACATCACGGCACACCACGCCCGCTTGTCCCGGCGCCACAGTAGCCGTTGCTGAACCGTTCGAAGACAGCTCCGTAGTAAACGCGCACCGTCATTGTCGAAAGAACGCGGCCTTGGCAGCCTATACTTGATCGAGAAACGCCGTCAAAGTGAGACGGGCTCCGCCATGGACGCGATGCTGGCGCAAATATTTCACTCGAGGGACGATTCAAGGTAGCTAGATCGCTTCCTTGACAATCTCAAGGAAACGCTCAAGATTTTTTCAAGTTAAGGAAGCGTTTCAAGTGAAGGGCGGTTTGTGAATGGGAAAACGCCACTTAAGAAGCGTTTCGAGTGAAGGGTCGAGTGGATGAGCGTTTGTGAATACGGGCCTAAGGCTCTTGTTGTTCTAACTCAAGGAGCCTGCACCGAGGCTGGAATACCTCAAATTACATTCCTTACCTCAAGTTACATTCACCCACTAATTAACGAAACTTGTTTAAATATACACGTATTTTCTTGTGCATAGTAATTCACTTGAGGGTGTTGTAGTCCATGCTATTTTATGGGATAACCATTTTGTAAAGTCATGAAAGGTTCACGTAATTTGAGATATTCATCATGAAATAATAATAGGTGAT